GTCTGTCCCCAGCAGTGAAGGTGTTGGGCAGCCGACGTCCTCGGTGTTGTCAGCCTCGTGCGGGCTGTCGTCTGTCCTCAGCAGTGAAGGTGTGGGCGTCGGTGCAGGCTGACCTTGTTCCTTGTCCGTTGTGTGCATGGGAGAGGAGTTAATGCCAGCCGACCAGCATAATTGGGCCAAAGAGACCTCAGAGCAAGGTGTTTGTCCCTTGTGGCTGGAAAGTACATTAAAACCTGTGTAAGGTTAAAACCTGTCAGGGAAGGAAAACTCACATATTTTCCACTAATACGAGCAATAGGAAAGTGGTTAGACTGCACCCCGTCAAAGGCAGAAAACTTGAAAACCCAGAAATACAAGGCAGCCCTATTGTATTCTGGCTGTCATGGGTTTTGGTGTATTTCTTTCACAAATTTCTAATGGTCTGTTTTTGTTAAGTGAGAAAGCCGTTTGTGTAATGCTTACTGTGTGTGCACTTAGATTTAATTCTGAGAGCAGAGAGCACCCGTGTTAGAGCTCTGTGGGGTGGGGAGGTCTGGGGGCTCACGGGCGGCCGTGGGGGGCTCACGGACGGCCGCGGGGGCTCACGGGCGGCCACAGGGGGCTCACGGACAGCCGCGGGGGCTCACAGGCGGCTGTGGCGGGCTCGAGCAGCCAGCTTCCTTCTCAGAGTGGAAGACATCCTGTAATTCTGCTTTTTCTCCGGCTCAGGCTGAAAGGCTTCGAAGGATGTTTGGAAAAGACGAGGACGAGACTATGAAGAAACCCAAACACGTGTCAGCAGATGACCTGAGTGACGGCTTCATCCTGGATAAAGACGACAGGCGTTTGCTGTCTTACAAGGTAAGGTGGGCAGCTTCCGTTTCTGTTTTTTGTTGTTTAAAAGAACACACCTTCTGATGTGTCATTTAATGGCGTCATCACAGACGGGGATTTTTTAACAGTTTGTCTGAAGTCCTTTATCTGGGTGTTTATGGGTATATTAGATACCATAACTTTGTAGAGACGACTGTCACAGCTGAGCTCGACCTGCACTCTGGAGAAGGGATGCGGGTGATAAAATTAGTCTAGAACCCTGTTAAGGAGCCCTGGAGGCGCAGCTGTTAAAGTGCTTGGCTAACCAAGAGCCTGGCGCTTGGAACCCACCAACAGCTCCCCGGGAGAAAAGGCATTTCTGCTCTCGATGGCAGCTGACAGCAGAATCATGCGACTTGTTAACTTCAGCTGTTTTTGTTTAGAGATGATTATCTGCACGATCTTATTAGCGTTGATATTGGAGGTGCTAACTCAGGGTTAGGATTTTGAACCTTAATTTTCCTTAGATCACCTTTGGTTTTTACCTGTATTGTCAGACGTGAGTAATTCTCATTTTTAATTTTCTGAGTGACGTAATTGCGTTTCTAAGGTCAGCGCAGTTTTTCCTTCACAAACCTGAAAGGTCTGCCCCCATGCCCGTCTTGGAGGTGGCAGTCAGGGCTCCAGCAGGACAGCAGAAGGCCGTCCAGGTGTTTCAAACAGAAAGGATCTGAAACAGGAATTGAGTGCCCACAGGACTCTGGGTTATCTGAAGAGCAGCTGTCAGGGGTCACTGCTGGGTCTTCCGGTCCTACCACCTCAAGGTGTAGCCTGAACCCCAGAAGCCGCTGCAGCGCCAGCTGTTCCCAAACCAGCGGCTGCAGACCTACGGCTGCCGAAGCCCCAGCCCGGCCAGGCCTTCCAAGTCACACACTGTCAGCTCCCAGCCTGTCAGCCCTGTGGCTCCGCAGGTGGCATGGAAGGGCCAGGAAGGGGGCCCAGTGCCAGCAGACAGGCGCGCCCGGAGGGCCGTGCCCCTTGCAGACAGGTGGCAGGGCCTGTGCTGTGTGCGGTGGTCTGCTGTAGCTTCAGGGGCTCAGCTTGCCTGGCCTGAGGTGTAACTGAGTCCCACTTTCTCCCTAGGATGGGAAGATGAACATAGAGGAGGATGTCCAGGAAGAGGGAAGCAGGGAAGCCGGTGGCAGTGAGAGTGAGGGGGAGGAAGATCCCAGCGGGGAGGACACAGAGCAGAGCGACAGCCCCGATGGCCACTCAGACCTGGACTCCAACGCAGAGAGCGAGGAAGACGGCGAGAGCCCAGAGAAGGGGCAGCTTCCGGCTCCCAGGGAGAGGTGCTCACATGGTGACCAGAAGGCCCGAGTTGACAGAGCCGAGCTGCCCTACACGTTCGCAGGTAGACGGCTGTCGGATTGTTGTTTGCAGGGCCCGGGCCTTGGTGGAAGCCTGTGTTGTGTCAGTCTGCCTCCCAGCTTTGCTCAGGGCATTGGTGAAGGGTGCACACAGTCATGGCGGGCATCGGGCGGGGGCTGGTTGGAAGTCCAGGCAGGCCTGTTAGCGTTTGTCCTGTGGCCAGACTCAGGCCGACAGCACCTCGTGCAGGCAGGTGTTCTCGGCCACTCAGCCATCCGTCTCACGTGCAGGCGGCTGCAGGTCCACCAGGGCAGGCCTGGCCGGTAACCATCTGTGCGGCCCCCTGATCTCAGACCTGGCACTCAGGTCGGCCAGGTGACACCTCCTACAGAATGCAGCATGCTGTTTTGTTGGCTCCATCAAGAAAAGTCATCCAGTTCTAGTAGGCAGCGAATTGTCCCGCGACTTAGGATTATCTCCAGGGAGGATGAGCGAGCGGGGGAGGCTGGCCTCTGGGAGTCACCTTCCATAGTGAGCCTCTCAGGAGGGATTGGCTTCGCTCACCTGGCTTGGCGCTGAGCCAGGCTGGACATTAAACCTCACGCGGGCCCCGGGGTCCTCTCGCCGTGGGTTATGGATTGTCAAGCTGCTTCCTGTCAAGGAAGGAGTGGCAGCCGTGTCTTCCTGAGGTGGTTTGCAAGGTTCCTCCTAGTAACAGAGGGCCAAGTTCAGTTACACTTTAAAGTCTTCAGGACCAGCTGGAGCAAACACAAATGAAGCGGGTGTTAAAACATAAAACGTTGTCTATTTTGCTAAGATTAGGGATGTCATTTTACTTACACTGTCTTTAGTTCTTATCTCTGCCTTATCAGGAATGTGGGTAACCCTCCTCTTCGGTTTTAAGCGTGGAATGTGCTGGATGTTTTTGTAGCTCCGGAGTCCTACGAGGAACTGAAATCGTTGTTATCTGGAAGGTCGGTGAAGGAGCAGCTGCTGGTGGTGGAGAGGATTCAGAAATGCAACCACCCCAGCCTGGCAGCAGGAAACAAAGCCAAGTTAGAAGTACGTGGGCGTGGACACGCGCAGGGTGTGGGCAGTGCTGGAGTGAGCCCGCGTCCCTGTGGAGCTGGGCGGTGACAGAGCATGCCCTGGTCCTCACCAGCAGGGTGTGTTGGCCACCTTAGTCACTGCTGACGGCGACTGCCGGGCTGGCACTGGCTCTCTGCCAGGCAGAGATCCCCCTGAGGTTCCCTGTAGGCCCCGGGGGAGGCAGGCCCTGTCACCGTCACTTCACAGGTGAAGAAAGGATGACCCACTGGGCTGCATGCCCATCCGCCCCCACAGAGCCAAGCTGGTAACAGCAGTGAAGGCACCTTCCCCGCCTCAGTCGGGAATACGTGTTCACTCTGTGCCGGGCAGAGCCGGCTGTGTCCTTGGTTTTGATAGTGAGGTATTCTCTCCTGTCGTGCTGCATTGCCAGGGAAGGATGTCGTGTGTGGTAGGTGGGGGGCCAGTGAAGACGAGGGAGCCCCTCCGTGAGAGGGGTTGACACGGTGGCTGCAGTGATGGACGCAAACACAGTAATGACTTTGAGAACGGCACGGCACAGGGCAGCGCTCCGTCTGTCAGACGCAGGGTCAGGATATGTCGGAGCTGACTCAACGGCAGCTAACAGCAGCCATTCTGCAGTCAGACCCGCAGCTTTCCCTCTCACTCACACCCAGCTCCCGGCGGGGTCCCTGTCACCTCTTGTGAGGAGGCTCCCGCCGGTGGCCCTGCCCTCGCCACATGGCTCTGGCCTGGAGTCTGGGGCACCGGGACGTTGTCGCTGGATGTTCTTCCTGGTGCTCACCACTGAGTGCTGCTCGGCTCATGTCCCGCAGAGGCTGTTCGGCTTCCTTTTGGAATACGTCGGGGATTTGGCCGCACGCGACCCTCCAGACCTCAGGGTGATCGACAAGTTGGTTGTGTAAGTGACTGGTGGCTTCTGGAGGGGGGCTGAGTTTGTCAAGTTTGACCTAATTTAGAGTCATGAGGGTGTGTTCAGAGTGATCAAGGAGACACAGCGGTGGCATTCCAGGCCGCTGCGGGGTTTGATGATGGTGGCTGCCATGCTGAGTTTGCCAGCATGTGCCGCCCTGGGCGCCACATTGATGGACTGTTTGTTTCACCGCACTGACATTGGCTATAACACAGTCGAACTCCTGGGATCTGTTTGTAGCGTTTAGTGGCTGATTTGCTTTGTCTGATTCACCAGTGAAGCGCCATGCTCTGCCTGGGTGGTTTGAGCGGCAGCAGGCGCTGGGCAGACAGCCGCCCGTGGTTCCTCCAGGAGCCTGCCCCCAGGTCTGCGCCTCGGTGGCACCCAGTGGGGCACAAGCATGGGACTAGGGGGGCCGTGCTGGGAAGCAGGTCCCTCGGAAGCACACGTCCCTCCCCAGCGTTGGGGTAGCCTGACCCTCACTGTGCTGGAAGTCCCAAGAAAGCAGTGCCCCGCAGAGTGCTCCTGGCACGCGGTACCATTGGCTGATGAAGGCGCAAGGGGCAGAGTTCCCACTCAGCGGCACGAGGCAGGGTCCGTGGGTTTGTGAACAAGAGCCCCTTGTCCCACCTGGCCATTGCAGAGACCCCATTAGAGCAGCACTCAGCTTCCCGGCCCTCTGGGGAGGGGTTACTGAGTTAACTGTAATTGGACTGTCAGCCACACCTGGCACATGGGATGTAGTCCAAGTTGGCAGTATTACTACAAGTACAGCTATTTCTGCCATCACGACAGTACTGAAAGTTATGGCCACGTTTCCAGGGAACGGCAAAAATGACTGTAGATCACAGATAGCTCCCAGGTTAGGAATGAGATCCGTTCCAGGGCTTTGAACTGGTTCGTTCCAGTTTGACCCCCTGCTGGGAATTTGCCTTTCTGCCCCCAGATATACTGAATCAGAATCTGCATTTTAACAAGATCCCCCGGTGATTCGTAACTTATACGTAAGAATCGCCTGGTGTGTAGAGGCCTGATTCATTCCTAAGTGTGTCTCGAAGGTATATTTGTACGTAAGTCAGAAAAGGGGCGTCTGGTTCTTATTTAGCCTCACTTTAGTGCAAGAGAGGAGCCCTGGTGGTGCAGTGGTTAAGTGCTCGGCTGTTAACCGAAAGGTCCGTGGTTTGACCCCACCAACCGCTCCGTGGGAGAAAGATGTGGCAGTCTGCTTCCATACAGATTTACAGCCTTGGAAACCCTGTGGGGCAGTTCTGCTCTGTCCTATAGTTTCGGTTTTCTTCTAGTGCAACAAGAGGCTCGAAGCCTTTTCAGTGATTGAAGAGCGGCACGTGCAGCCAGTGGAGGTGCTTGTGATGAAGAACTTGCTGCAGATGATGGTTTGCTCGTTCGTTTCAGAGCGAGGGCAAATTTACGTAACGTTGTAGGGCAAGTGTGAGCTGTCCGTAAGGCGGACGTTCGTAACCTGGGGACTTCCTGTATTGCAAACACTACCAGGTGGCCGGCCTGATAGCAGCATGAGGGAAGGTAGATTCACCTGGAGCCCCGGTCCCAGGCGGTGGTGACATCATGGGGAATGGCAGGCACGGGGGCGGGGCTTTGTCCGTGCCGCGTTGTCTGGAGCCACCCCCGGCATGTGTTTCTGACAAGCAGGCAGCTGTATAACCTCTGCCAGCTGTTCCCGGAAGCCGCAAGCGATGCCATGAGGTTTGTTTTCCGCGACGCCATGCATGAGATGGAGGAGATGTTGGAAACCAAGGGCCGCGCCGCCTTCCCGGGCCTGGACGTGGTGAGCAGCGGGCCTGGATGCGGGCGGGGGCTTGCCCACTGATGTATGCCAGCGAGAACTCTAGTTCTGCTTTGTGTGGGCTGAGCGTTTGGCCGTTCTTCCTCCTATCCCAGTGACGCAGAAAGGTGACATTTCTTCCCGCTGCGTTCACGGGCCTGGCACAGAGCTGGGCCAAGGGGGCAGCGACCAACCAGACGCCCCCCCCCGGCCCCCCCCAGGGCTCTGGGCTGGCAACCAGGGGTCATAAACGTGCCTATTCACTGGGTAGAGCGGCCCCCGTGTGCTTCCTGTTACGGGTCCACTGGAGAAGTGCCCCCACCCCAGAGAGCCTGGCTGTATCTGGGGTGCGTGGGTAGTGTTTGTACACGGGTGTGTGCACGTGGTGGTTTGGATACGTGTGTGTGCACGTGTGTGTGTGCACGTGTGGTGTTTGTACATGGGTGTGGGGGGGGTGTCTGTGTGTACCCACGCATGGGAGGCACTGACACCTGTCGGGGGCACCCCCATCGGGCAGTGTGAGTGACGGCTGTGAGGCTACCAGCGTGAAAGCGTGAAGTCTGCAGTGCTTTGCCATGCTTTGCTTTCCAACCTGCTCTTGCTGTTGGGCCCATTTTAACGGCAGCATCATGAGCGTCCTTTTGCTTTCATGAACCTGTGCAACACCCCTTCCTTTACAGCTCATTTATTTGAAGATTGCGGGGCTGCTGTTCCCCACCTCTGACTTCTGGCACCCAGTGGTGACCCCTGCACTGGTGTGCATGAGCCAGCTGCTCACGAAGGCAAGCCTCCGGGGGGGGCAGGTCGCGGTGGAGACTGACCATGGGGGTGGGCAGGGGAAGAGCCCGTCTAAAGTCCCTGCGGAGACCATCAGCTTGTGGGCTCTGAGGTCGCACTCAGCTCTGGCTCCCGTCCCCGGGGCCTCCGCTCAAGCAGCCCCAGTAGGGGGCCTGTTTCAGCGCCTGGCGATTGTGCAGGGCGGGACCCCAAAAACAGCCTTTCAAGTCAGCACTCAAGGTGTCCAGTCAGATGTGCTCATTTCCTTCACTGGGCACAGGCTCAGGGTGCATTTAGTGCAGCAGCCACACCCCACGTAGGACAGAAGGTCATGGTGTGCACACCTGGTCCTGTGGGACCCTTTCCTCCTGGGCAGTGGGCTCAGCAAAACACGCGGCTCACCTGCGGAGCGGCTTGTCACCCGGAGCATCGTTGCAGTGTGCTGTCCAGACGCTGACGTCTCTGTGTCCCTCTGCAGTGCCCCGTGCTCTCCCTCCAGGATGTGGTGAAGGGGCTCTTCGTGTGCTGCCTGTTCCTGGAGTACGTGTCTCTGTCCCAGAGGTTCGTGCCCGAGCTCATCAACTTCCTCCTCGGGATCCTTCACATCGCGGCTCCAAACAAGCCTGCTCTGGGTGAGTCTGCCTACGGGAATTTCTGAAGACGTCTTAAGGTAATTCCAGGTCATGGTAGAACATCTGGGATATAAATAAGTATTAAAAAAACCCACTGCTGTTGAGTCAATTCCGACTCGTAGCGATCCTGTATACAACGGAACGAAACACCGCCCGGTCCTGCGCCATCCTCACAATCCTTGTTATGCCTGAGCCCATTGTTGCAGCCACTGTGTCAGTCCATCTTGTCGAGAGTCTTCCTCTTTTTCTCTGACCATGTACTTAACCAAGCATGATGTCCTTCTCCAGGGACTGGGCCCTCATAGAAGACAAATCTAAAGCCCCACCATCCAGAGAAACCTTCCCTTTGCACATTCCCGCGTTTTGAAAATTGGGGTCACGCATCTGCACTGTCTGGCACTGCGGCCGGTAGCCACAGGGGCTGTGGGGTGCTTGAAGGGTGGCCAGTCCAAAGGGAGATGTGGTTTTGTTCTTCATCATAAAATACGCACCAGATATCTCAATTTTTTGTGTTAAGTAGTGAAATAACATTTTGTTATTTTGAGTGAAGTGAAATATATTGTTAAATTTGATTGTACTGTTTTATTATACGTTGTTGATGTGGCCACGAGAACGTTCTGTATTCCCCCTTGGCTCACTGTGTGTTCCTGGTGGACATCGCTGCCCTGTAGAGTGCCTGCAGGGCTGGGAGTGTGGGGGGCAGTGTCTTGGTAACTGGGAGACACGTCCGTCTCCTGACTGGCTCAGCATCCCTCCATGCCGACCTCACTCCCTGCAGCACCTTCTCAGCCTCAGCTTCCCCTCGGGGGTGGCGATGAGTAGCCTGGTCTGTGTTCCCTAAGGTCTCGTGTGTGTGGATTTGCTGTCCCCAGCCTGGCCCTAGGCCCTCCGGGTCCAGCACATCGTGTGGTTCCTGAGGGCCCACCTGAGGATGGGCGTTGAGGCATCGGCCAAATCCTTCAGCCATGCACCTTCAGGTGTCTGGGCCCTCCTCCCGCTCGGGGCCCTGAGCGCACCACTGGTCCCGTGCTTACCTCATCTCGGTGCTTCCTGCCCGTCGCTGCCGTACGCCGCGACTGTGCCCAGTCCACAAACACTGGGAGCCTCCTGTGTGCACACAGGCGTCACCAGGCCCTGGAGATGCAGTCATACAGTGCGGCGCCTGCCTCAGGAAGGCCAGGCCGGCGGGAACGCAGGCCAGAAGACCTGCAGCTCCATGCACAGTGTGGGGGCGGTGGAACGCACTCACAGAGCGGGGGGGCGTGGCCAGCTCGCCTCTTATGGGCGCTGCGTGTCACCTGTCTCCTGCTCAAGGGCTGGGACTTCAGTCCCGCAGTGGGCCCAGGCACCTACACTGTCTGGCGCACAGTGGTCCGCAGGAAGTACGTGTTGAATGCAGGGCTCAGGTGAGGACAGGCCTCTGTCCACCCCCAGCGCCTGGCACCGACCGCCCCTCTCGGCACTGCTTCCACGTCCGCCTTCCCCCGCGGGACCTGGGTTCATTGAACAGCACCCCCAGTGCCTAGCAGGGCCTGGCAATGCCATAGAAAACCAGTGTGTGTTAAAGCATGAAGTGTTACAGGCCTAGCACTGGCGAGCCTGCCCATGAGCCCCGTCATTCATGGCTCGTCCCTGTCCCTGTCGCACTTGGCTTTCAGGTTACACTCTGGTGCACCCGTTCAGAGCACTTGGGAAGAACTCGGAACTGCTCTTGGTTTCCAACAGAGAGGACGCGGCCACTTGGCAGAGGAAGAGCCTCCCCCTGCACTGGGCCAGCGGACTGAAAACCCTGACCACCACGGAGACAAACCATGCCAGGTGTGGGCCGGGGGCCCCGGGGGGTGGTGCTCCCCTCCCCACTCTGCCAGCCCGGGCCCCACAGAGGCCCAGCTGGCCTGAAGGGTCAGGGCCTGGAACAGAGAAACCCCAAACGCAAAAGGAGCGGCTGATGCACTTTGATTTACTGCCAGAAATTTCCGTTTTTAGCTCATGTGCCACCCACGTTGGGTTAAAAACCTTTCTGAGGGCTGTTGGCTGTTCTTTCCGGGGAAGGGGCATTTCCCAAAACATGCACGGTATCTTCCGGACGCATCTGCTCCATGCAGTAGATAGTAATTCGGAAACTAAAATGAAGGTTCTCTCTCAGCCTGGAGTTGTGTTCCCGCCGTGGTCCTCCTTGTGCAGGGAAGCGAGATGTTTCCTTTAGGGCCTGGTGCCCGGGGGCGCGGCTGTCCCCTCGGTGGGTGCCAGGCCACACTGCAGCCTGGGGGTACGGTTGTCCCCAGAGCCGTGGGCTGGACATGTTACTTCTTCAAGTGGCTGAGATGTGGGAGGGAACAGTCTGGCCCCTCCTTCCTGCCTCAGGCTGTCCTGCCTGGCCGTGTGTCTGGCCCTGGTGAAGCGCTGCATGCTGCTGTACGGCGCCCTGCCAGCCTTCCAGGACATCGTGCAGCCCCTGCGAGCTGTGCTGACGGAGCACCTGGCCCACCGCGGCCACCCCCAGGACCTCCAGGTAAGGCAAGGCCTGTGGCGGGAGCAGGTGAGGGGCGCCTGGGAGCCGAGGACACCGCCTAGGCAGAGGGGCGAACACAGATGGGAATGGAATCACAACAGAGAAGGAGGAGGCCGAGGAGGGGTTTGTTGTCCTGAGGCTTCCTCGTATACGTTTCCCGGCGCGCCGCAGGACAGGGCTAAGAACACCGAGCTCAGTCCTGAGTTTTACCTGAGAAGCATTAGATGGTCCATGGCTTCCTCTGGAGGCGGTCCTCTCCCTGCTGGAGAGCAAGCGGTGGACGAGATAGACCCATCCCTTTCCGTCAGCATCCACCTGACTCAGTGGGGCCAAGCTTGCTGTGGCCGCGAGGAGGAGTGGTCCCCAGCCTGCAGGGTTCAGGTGGGCTGGGGGCTCTGTACGCTTGGGCCTGGCCTGGCTAGTCGTGCCTGGGTGGGTGTCAGGATACGCAAGGTGAGCGTCCAGAAAGGGGCCGCGAGTGCAGGGCCGGTACAAGGGAAGGTCACTTTGATGTCCTGCAGGGGCCGAGCCTCGGGTGGGAGCCTCTGCCAGGTGGCCTTAGTCCTGGAACACACGTGCAAGGAGCGGGGCTGGTCTAGCTGGCCACTCAGGAATCTCAGAAGCCCTGGGAGACTGTCCTGGAGCCTTGTGTGGAGTCGGAGGCAAAGGTGTTTAGCAGGAAACGATGCAGAGGGGAATGGCCGCCCGAGCTGCAGCCTGCGGTGCTGAGGAAGGCAGGTGGCTCCGGCCACAGTGGCCTGCTGTGCTTGTGGCGGCCCTCAGGCGGCCCTGTCCTCAAGGGTCCATGGGGACACATCACAGCGTGTGCTCTCGACCCTTTAGGAGCTGTGTCAGAGTGCCCTGGCAGAGGCGGAGAACCAGAAGCCGCACTGCCGGCCCCTGGTCTGTGAGAAGAGCAGGCCGGTCCCCCTGAAACTGTTCACTCCCAGGCTGGTCAAAGTGTGAGTATCTGTCCCCTCTCAGAGGCTGCCCCAGCTCCGGGAGGGGGGCCGGCGTGGAGAGTGGGGGCCGACCATGGCAGCGAGGGCAGGCCCACCTCGAGAGAAAGGTCTGTGGACGAGCGTCTGCCTGCGTGGGCGCTGCATCTGGTGCCCAGCATGGGGGTGGCACACGTGGCCAGGCTAAGGCACCGCAGGCAGCAGTGGGTGCTGAGCACGATCCGAGACCCCCGACCCCTCCCGCTGGCTTGGCCTACAGCCTCGAGTTTGGCCGGAAGCAGGGCAGCACCCGGGAGGAGCAGGAGCGGAGGCGGCTGATTCACAAGCACAGGCGCGAGTTCAAGGGAGCCGTGCGTGAGATCCGCAAGGACAACCAGTTCCTGGCCCGGATGCAGCTCTCAGAGACCATGGAACGGTGAGGGGGGCTGAGGGGCGGGCCCGGAGGACGGTGAGGAGGACGGTGATGGGGGCTGAGGGGCGGGCCCGGAGGACGGTGATCCGGCATGAGCAGGGGCTGAGGGGTGACTAGAGGGCAGGGCCGTGCACGTCCCCCACACTCCCACCTCGCATTGTGGTTGTTGGGCCTATGGTTTCGGAAGGTCAGTAAACTAACCCAAAACCCACATTTGCACTTCACCTTTTAGGGACGCGGAAAGAAAGCGAAAAGTGAAGCAGCTCCTCAACAGCCTGGCGACGCAGGAGGGCGAGTGGAAGGCTCTGAAGAAGAAAAAGTTTAAGAAGTGAATGAAGGTGTGGTGTTCGCAGGGTGAGCGGCCTGCACTCAGTGCCTGCTGGGGCCAGCCGTCTGGCCTGGCGGTGTGCAGGGTCGAGGTCACTTCTGGAGCTGTGGATGCTGCTCTGCTGTGGACGCTGCCCGACCGTGGACCCAGCTCCACAACAACTGTCTGTTAGTAAACTAGAAACAGCTTTGATTCCTGGTGTTCAGGGATCCTGAAGGGCTTTTGGAGCTACGCACCCTGCTCCGTGCTGCCCTGTGACAGCCATCTGTTAATAAACTAGAAACAGCTTTGGTTCATGGCGTGCGGACTGGCCTCGACTGACGGCAGATTTGGGCCTGAGGGATCGGCTGATGGGCGTCTTCCCCCTCTCATCTTCACTCGGGGCCCCGGGGCGCCACCTCGGGTCTTGGTCCCGCCGCCGCAGCTGTGGGCAGGCAGCTGTGTCTGGTGACCCACGTTGGGGCTGCACACGTCGCCGGGCTGGGGCAGCGGCTCCATGGTCCCCGGCACCGCAGGCAGCAGTGGGTGCGGAGCTGGAGACATGGAGGTTGCGCTTTGGGGTCTGAACCCCTGCGCTGAGCAGCAAAGCGCTTACTTCCCGGACTCTGTGCCGTCCAGGGGAAGGACTGAGGGGGAGTCTGCCTCTTCTCCAGGGATCGTCTGCTAAACGGACCTGCCTGGGGCCCAGCTGCCCCCTCAGGGTGCCCTTCCTGCTGGCCCCGCTCCTCCAGTTCTGGGCGTGTGGCCCTATGTTGTGCTCTGGGAGACCAGAGAATGGCAGGGGGGGCCCCCATCACCACATACTTTCTCTGGCGTGGCTCAGGGCTGCTGGGGTTGGGGGGCAAAGAGGGCTGTGGGGGTGCACAGGGCCTCCCCTCAGGACACCGGGGAGCCCCCTGGCCTGTAGGGGCAGCCCAGTGGTGGAGGCAGACGGCCCTGAGCTGTGAGCAGCCCTGCAGGCTGAGCTAGGAGACCTGCTTGGTGAAGATGGAACAGGATAACTCCGCTGGGCATGGGGAGCTGAGGAGGGGAGGACATCCCGGGTCCGCCTTGTCTAGCAGAACAAGTGCTGACAGCAGTTAGCCTTCCTTAGGGATTTGGGGGGCGGGGGGGCAGTCCAAGCGCAGCTGCCGCCTTTCCTGTGACCCACAGTGAGCCCCACGTGCGGTCTGGCTTCTTGGGCGTGACAAGCGTGGGCTAGTGACTCCCTACCTGGGGCATCTTGGACACATCCCACAGCAGGCAATGGATGGCCTGTCTGCATCTCCCTCCTGGCTGCTCCTGAGCACACATCAACAGTCCAGGAGCTGCTGAGCCCAGCATGTCCGTTACATGCCTGGCCTACTCCACTGTCTGTTCCCGGTGGGGAGGGAATAAGGTCCTTTCGCAGCACAAGAGGGTGTGTGCGGACCACCCTCTGCATCAGCTGCAGAGTGACCTGCTGGTCCTGGGGGACTGAGCCCACTACTGGCCAAGCAAAGCGTTCATACGGTGCCCGTGTGTGTTATGTCTCTCTTGGTGATCCTGACACCAGCAGACCATGGAGTGGGTTACTATCCGCCACGTGGTAGGACTCCCGAAGGTGGCAGTGGGTGTCACAGGCCCCTGCAGGGTGGTAATGACTAGGCTGGAAGAGCACGACCGTCACCTGGTGGATGAAGGCACTTTATCTTCCTTTGAGGAGATCGGCTTGTTTTCAGCTCCATGGAGGTAGTTGGCGTCATGCTAAGCAGTTAAGTATGGCTTTGTTGATTTTTTATTGTTGGTTTAGGACTTAGGAGACCTCGTGTATTAGAGTAGAACTGCTCCATAAGGTTTTCTTGACTGTAATCTTCGCGGAAGCGGATCCCCAGGCCTGTTTCCCGTGGCGCCACTTGGTGGGTTTCAACTGCCAACCTTTTGGTTACCAGCTGAGTGCAAACCATTTGCACCACCCAGGGACCCTGAAAGCAGGACTTCGTGATGCTCTTTATTGGGAAGCGAAGTGTGGGTTAAAGAGAGGGATGAAAGCTGAGTGGACAAGTGGTGCGCAGGGACCCCTGTACCAGTCAACCCGGCTGCGGAACCCCGTTTCCCAGCGTTCCCTTCCATGGGTTTCTGGTTAGGGCTGGCCAGGAGAAACGTACAAGAGTATCAGAAAGTGGGAGGGAAGCGGGAGCCACTGTCTGCGGGGTCTCTTCCTCCAGCTTCTCCGGGTCCTGGGCCGCTGTGAGCACCCCTGCAGTCAAAGGGGATCTAGGGCAGTGAGGCTGAAGGCCTGGTCGCAGGCGAGTCCAGCACAGGGCCAGCTCGTCCCTGTGGTTTTCGGTCATCTCTGCTCTCCTCCTCAGCAAGTCCCAGGAAATCACGGTCGGCACAAGACAGAAAAACTAGACCAAGTGACTGTGTAGGGTTCTGCTCCCCCACTACATTCCTGTTGAGTTGAACTGTGTCCCCCAAAAAGGCAAGTTGACGTTCTAACCCCGAACTTGTGAATGATCTTATTTGGAAATAGGGGTTTTCTTTTGTTATGAGTTAAGTCAAATGAGGTCATACAAGAGACAGTCACAGACACGGACAAGGCCGTGTGAAGCTGCATCTACGAGAGCAAAGAAACGCCAAAATTCACCAGCAGCAGCAGGGAGAGAGACATGGACACAGCTGACACCCTGACCCCCGACTCCCAGCCTCCAGAACTGGGAGACATGCACTCCAGCTCTTGAAAGCCGCCCACTTGTATTTTGTTGCTGCAACCCTAAGGGGGGTGGCCCAGGCAGGTGTGTGGTAGCTGGTCCCCCCACATCACCTAGCCTAAAGCTGTAACACCGATCCGGCGGCTCCTTTGAGGCAGGAGGCCCCGCCTGGCTCAAGGGCAGGCACAGAGAGGACTCAGTGGCCCCTGGGGTGCCCTGCAAAGCAGCTGCCTTGGCAGGTCCCCCTTCCCCAGGGACAGCAAGCTCTGCCCTCCAAGATAGCTGTGTGCTGCCAGCCCCCACGCCGACACTGCTGACGTTATCTGCGGGTGCGAAGCTGTGCGTGGAGGTTTCAGAAAGGGCCCCACCATACGGCCCCCGGGTGGAGCACTTAGCACCCCGGGGTTCCTGGAGGAGTGTGCCCTCCCCCGGCAGGGTTCAGGGCTTGGGCCCCGTCCCTCACCCCGCCAGCTCACGCCCACCCCGCCAGGACGAGGCCAGGGGTGGCAGGTGACCCGAGCGCCCGCGGACTCCGCGAGGCGTGCTCGCCCTGGCAGGAAGGGGCCAAGGACAGGCCTGAGCGGCCGCCCAGTGCCAGGTCTGGGTCGCGCGGGCACAGCGCACCCCTCCGCGTCTGCGCGTCCCTCCAGGCCGGGCCGAGCTGCGAGCCCACAGCGGCCCGAAGCCCGGCTTAGTGGGGAGGGTCGGGAGCGCGGAGCCCGTCTCTGGAATCGAGGGACCGGGAAAGGAAACACTGCCCAAGGCTGCCTGCCGCCGGAAGAGAAAGCGCCCGGCTCGACTCGGATTCCGGGGCGGGGCTAGGGCGGGGCAGGGGCGTGGTCGTCCCGCTCGCCCCGCCCCTCCCCGCCCCGCCCCACCGCCTCCCCC